GCACCGTCTGCGAGGTGGAGGCAGACGTGGCGGAGGAGGAGGAGACGAAGCCGTCGACCAGCGAGGCGGGGGCGGGACTGCAGGGGCAGCTGCTGAACAACGGCGGCAGGGATACGACGAGTTCGAGCGATATCCAGAAGTTGCAGCAGCAGCTGCAGGATATCAAAGAGCAGGTGGGTGACTTTTACAATATCGCGATGTTATTCTCGTTTCGCTAATGATTCGTTAATGAACCCTCGGATATTGCCATTTCACGCGTAAAATTGTGTGGTTTTGTCACGTCCTTTAAGGACTGTGGACACACTTCTTGTCATGCTGTTTTAAACACAAGTATGTTTTATAAGAAATGGAATGTCATTATTCTGTACGAATTCGGACATTATTGTCAAGGGCTTCGAAGATGGTCAACATAAACTAGTGAATATGTGTGACTTGAGCAAAGCTTTCGATTGTGTCTCACACACAGTCCTTTTGGGTAAGCTCCATTTCCACGGTGTACGAGGAACTGCACTGAAATTAATTGAATCATACCTGAATGGAAGGAAACAAGATGTTTATTTCAATAATAACTCATATTCAGAAATTGAGAATATCTCGCTTGAGCTCCCTCAGGGTTCGATCCTTGGACCACTTTCATTTAATACTTATATCAATGATATTTTTCATTATATGAGTCCAACTAAATGTGTTTGTTATGCAAATGATTGTACTCTTTGTGGCTGACAAAAGCATCGACCAGTTGGACAATATTGTCCAAGATATCTCCACTAAAGCTAAAACGTGGTTCATATCTAACACTTTGAAACTCAATGATAGAAAAACTCAAAATATCCCATTTTCTATTAATTATACTGTTGCCAGTACAAAAGTTGAGCTGCTTGGTATTGTCATGGATGACATATTTGAAGTGGACAGCTCATATTGAACATTCGAGCAAAAAATTAATCTCAAATATTTTCCTATTGCGAAAATTAAGTAGATTTGCTTGCCCAATAGTTTTGAAAACAGCATACCTTGGTCTTTTTCATTCTCATATCAACTATAGTGTAACTCTCTGGGGAATCACAGTTGATTCCATAAGAATATTCAAACCACAAAAAAGAGCTTTGAAATTGATCTCGAAAGTTGAGTATAGAGAGAGAGTTGTCGTCCATTATTCAAAAATCAGGAAATAGTTCCTTTATCATGAATCTGCATTCTTATTTGTTCGCTAGAAATTCATAAAAACAAAAATAATTATCGAACAAATGATGCCTTTCATAATTATACAACAAGAAATTGTGATCTGTTTTTCGTACAACCAACCACCGTTTAATGATATCGAAACGTAACTTCACAGATGTCAAGCTTTATAATAAACTTCCTGCAAATATTAAGGAAACACATATACATAATATATTTAATAGAACAATGCTGAGGTAGACTTCACTTTAGCAAATAAATTGAAATAATAAATAATATGAGAGAATAGAGACAACGATCATTTCATTAAGAAGTGAAAAACAAAAATCAGTATAAAATAGCATATTAATTTCCACGCACTACATTCCCACCTATATTACTGAAAATCAGGCTTCACCCATCATAATTTCAACGTGTAATTTGTGTTTTTGTATTTTTTTTAACAATCTCTTTTACCCGTATTGCTGACTAATCACAAATGAAATCGATTTTTTGTAACCTGAATGAATAAATAAATATATAAATTCTTTAGCTGATGAGTCAAGAGAGTTGATTCCTGATTATGCAACCGGCCCTAAAATTTTCAGTTACAATTTCAATATCAAAACCCAATTTTCTCAAAAAGAATCGAAACAAGGAAAGAAAATCTCGAGAAATCAAGAGAAATAAATAATGATTTGCAAAAAAATCACCGTATCTTATAGTCCTTTATTTACTTGTATTGAATTTTTTACAGACCATGTGTCCTGTCTGCTTGGACAGACTGAAGAACATGATCTTCCTCTGCGGACACGGCCTCTGTCAAATGTGCGGCGACCAAATGAGCGAGTGCCCAATCTGTCGAAAGGCCGTCGAAAAGAGAATTTTATTATACTGAACCTGCCACTATATATAGGAGGTGCTTATTCATTTTTTATGACTGAATCTGGAGGTATTCATTCATTCAGGAGTTTGTTTTTGACGGTTTTTTTGTTATCTGTAAAAATGTGAGGTTTTGGTTATCTCAACCAATAGCAATGTGTAGTTTTAGTCAATTGTTCGTCCTCGATGATGAACCTCGTTTTCGTAGAACAGTCGAAACTATATAGTAACACAAACTAGTTGAAATAATAATCTTTTAAAATTCAACTCGTTCATCGCATATTCTTAGGCAAAATTCCTTTTATTACCTTTGATAAGTTTTTGATTTGTCAAAAATCTAAGTGATTTCAATCATGAGTTGATTGTTTTTCTTTCAAAATGATGAAAAAACTAATGTATCCCAATCGAAGTAATTCATTCTTCAAATTTGATTAGTCAAGAGCATTCAAAGAGTCATAATAATAAAGGGGTTTTCATTGAAAATAAACAAAGAATTAATAAAACTCTAGGACTTGTTATCTTGCTTCTTTATCATAGTCTTAGGTATGGTGAGAATTGTTGATTAGGTTTGTGAATTTGTAATGAATTACGATATTTGACATCTTAGAATTAATATAATGTGTAATTTTTTAACCCCTCACTATATATAAGTGTGCTTATACTGTTGAAATTAGTTGTCCAATTTGGTTATTGCAAATTCATCACCTTGACATACAGGGTGTAAATTTGAAAAGTTTCAATGCGAATATCTCGCGAAATAAAAAAGTTAGAAAAACGCCGCTTGGCACAAATGCTAAAGTGTTAGGAAGAACACACACCCCAACTTTGAAATTTCAAATGACACTATACCTCTTTTGTGATATCTCAAATGAACGGTCTCAGTCAGTAGTATTCACCTGTACAAGACTTATTCTCCACCCACTACAGGGTGAACGAAAAACATAAAGTCGAATAAAATAAAATGCAGAATGCCGATATATTCCAAGAGATGTGTTCCAAAATGTTGGTATGGCATTTGAACGTCGATTATACTTTTGCTTACAACAGAATGGAATGCATTTTGAACATCTGATCAAATAAAATATCCTTTTAACACAATTCAGTTTATTTTATTCGACTTTATATTTTTCGTACACCCTGTAGTGGGAAAAAAAGTCTTGTACAGGTGAATACTACTGACTGAGACTGTTTATTTGAGGCATCACAAAGAGGTAGTGCCATTTGACATTTCAAAGTTGATGGGGTGTGTCGCGCCGACGGGGTGACTCATCCCTTGACCGAAATATGGTGGTTCTAGTTCCCCTTAACTCTTTAGCATTTTTGCCAAACGGCGTTTTTCTAACTTTTTTCTTTCGCGAAATATTCGTATTGGAAGTTTTCAAATTTACACCCTGTATAACTCATATCATCACCTGATTGGATCATGATATTTTCGAATGGACATTTTTCGGATTTTTAGATTTTCTATTTGAATTCGGTACTTCTGATCCTGATCCTCCTCCAGAAAGATATAGAACGTGAAACATGTTTTTCTAATACTCGGCTTGAAAATTTTGGAGACATTTTATCTAGTTTAGATTTTCCTGTTCCTATGATTATTCAAAGTATCTGTTAAGAGAACTAATAACACATATTAATTGTTGTTGTTTATCGAGGATAGAAACAACAATTATTTAAACCAATATTTTAATTAGACTAATTAACATTTTTGTAGTTATGATGTATGAAAACATTATCAATGATTTATTGTAGGTTACTATTATATATCAATATATACAGGGTGATTCATCAAGAATGGGAAATCTCGTAGATACAGATAATACATGAATAATACCTAAACACTGAAATATATTTTAAAATTTTCATTAATTCAATAACACAACACCGGTTGGAGCTGGACAATTAGAAAACGAGTACATTTTTCATGCGAAATTGAACGGGCTTTCAGTTCTTTCATTTATTCTGAGAAAATTCAAATAGACAAAGAAGATATGATGTAATTTACCGAAGTATAAGAGAGTGCCACTAGCACCCTCTATGAGCAATCACAAAATGAGTTTAGAGATTTCCCATTATCAATTAATCACCCTGTATGTGATATGATTATTGTGAAAGTATACCTATTTAGGGTACCTATATATCTACCTATTTTTCAAACCAATTCATGTTTCAGATTATTTTAATCTTACTTATATTTACTATAATACATCAGAAAATATGATTTTGTATTGTTCATCAATATTCTGAATTGACAAACGCAAGAAAAATTGCAAGATACTATTTTCAGATTAAAACTATATGTCCTAATAAGTTGTAGGTCCTTTAATGATCATTTTCATGTGATTATTGCATCATATAGCTGCAGTATATATTTCCAAATAACTTGAATGAATTGATCGTTAATATCAATTATGTAATTTGTAGCTAATGATAATTGTTAAATGCTATAAATGCTAGGCACAAATTATATTGTATACCTATATTCGATCGTTTTGTTACTGAATAAAGTGAATCAGCAAATAATTTTTGGGACTTTGATTTTACAGGAACTATATATAGGATATAATAAGCAGGTAATAAAGGTAGAGGGTTTTTCAACTTTGAGAATGAGAACGATAATACGCATTCAATTTATGTACAATACAATACAATTCAGGCTTTGGAAACAAATTATCTAACTGTTGTATCTTCAGTATCATTGATTTCTCTCAATGAAGCACTCTTCATCGATTCATTGCATAATGTGTCGTAATATAGTGAATATATTGAGAAAAACGACGATGCCGACAGCTTCGTGAATCACCCTGTAAGCATGATATTCGATTCGCGCCATTTATCTTGCCTCTACTACGCCCCACCGGCAATTTGAACTTCTGGTAGTTCAAATGAATGATGAAAAGAGAAGTAGAATGGCCGGCTAGCCATTATAGCAGGAGCCAACAAGTATAAATGAAAAATTGAAAACGAACTTGAGTAAGCTGCAAATAACCTCTAAATTGTTTTCAGAAATTGTAATCTTTTATTTGATGATATTTATATAATAATAGAACTTTCAGGAATCCACAGCTGAAAAAGCAATGTCTAAAACAACAGACAAGGCTCTTAATTTGATGCGGCATCTACCTAGAGTATGTTTAGCCAACATCAGAGACAATCCTGGATCTGGTAAGGTGAGAGCAGTCCTTATTATTACTAGTGATTTTTTTTTCAATTTCTTATTATCTGTTCCAGAAAAGATCTAGAGGTAGAGCACAACACGGAGGAGACTATCATGGAGCTGGTAACAAAGGCTCTGGCCAACGACAGAATTTCATGAGGTTAGGTTATGAAACTGGAAACAATCCTTTCTACCTTCGGTTCCCATGGGAGCCCTACTACAGAGGCCACCAGTAAGCACTCCATATATTATATTCATGATTATCAAAATAGTGTTATAATTAGTATCCTGAGATGTAGGAACCATTTATTAACATTCTATTTCACTATTTTTAGTCTGAGAAGACAGTACCCTCCATTATCAATGTTGGATCTACAGAAACTCATTGATACAAACAGAATTGACACATCAAAACCCATAGATTTAGTAGCAATCATGAACACTGGTTTGTACAGGCTCTTTCCAGACCAGAGACAGTTTGGTGTTCAATTGACTGATGAAGGTGCAGATATTTTTTGTGCAAAAATCAACCTGGAAGTGCAGTGGGCCAATGAATTGGTGATTGCAGCAGTAGAGAAAGCAGGTGGAGTTATTAGTACAGCCTATTATGATCCACATAGTCTGCAAGCTATGGTGAATGTCAAGAAGTTCTTTGAAAGGGGTAAGTGCTGAATTCATGCCTGAGTGAATGTAAATGCAACTCTGGTATAAGTTTTATTTGTATTTAGTTAGACTTTCAGGTGCATATGAAATCTCATCTCCTTTTAATTTCATTAAATGTTATGTAGGTATGTGTTTATCTGGGTCAACTCATAGTTTTTGTTCTGCCATAGTCAGGTTTGATAAAAAATTATATTAACCCAAATCACTATCACATTTTTATGAGAGAGAAATTTATAAAATTTGCATATTATTTCATTTCATTTGTCATTGAAGAACATTCATGTTACCAACATTTCAAATTGACCACTTCCAATCAATTTTTTTTTCTGCAATAGCAAAAATCATATCCTAATTTCATCAAATTTGAGCATGACATTTTTATTGTTCCTAATGTTCCTATGCAGCATAGCATCTGTATCTTAAAAACACTTTCTTGTCCTAGAACTTCTAGAAAACTGACATGTCAGCTTGGCTTTATTGAAAATCATCACAAAGCATGGTTGCAGAAAGATATGTTTGACTTCACCATTGAAAAAAGAGGAAACCATTGAAAAGTTACTATCTCTAAACATCAATAGAATATGTAAATTTGTCAACTAGGCAGTGAAGTTGTAGATTTATTACCATCTTCTTCTGTAACTCAGTAAATCAGGTATTTACTGTCCCTATCGAATTTCTAGCCAGTAAAGTGCCAATTTACTGTTTTATTTAGTCAGAGCTAATTTACTAACAGTACTAAGTCTTTATATAGGTCCACCTATATTTTTCTTACTGTTCATGGACAATCAAATGACTGTGGTAGTGAATAATGATGTGAAGCTATAATTCTTATCAAGGTGTTCCAATACCCAGAAGGATGATGCCGCCCCCTGATGCCATGGAATATTATTCTGATCCATCCAAGAGAGGCTATCTGGCTGATCCAGAGAAAATATCTGAGGAACGCCTGGTACTTGCACAAAAATTTGGTTACAGCTTACCAAAGATTGAGGATGATCCAAACTATGAAATGTTAGTTGAGAAAAAGGACCCCAGACAGATCTTCTATGGGTTACACCCCGGGTGGATAGTGAATCTTAAGGATAAAGTTATATTGAAACCTCAAGATGAGGAGTTACTTAGATATTATGCTTCATAAGTGTTTTTGTATTTTAATTGACCATAAGTAGCCATTCTTTTATGGAAATATATTGTAAAATATGAAAGTTTTTGTTTTATTCATTTATTATCACAAGACACATTGATGAAAAATTTCAAAAATTGGGTCTTCCAAGTAAAACCAACAATTCTTTCATCTTCTCTAAGTCAAACTCTATAAACTTTGTGATTGAATTATTTGTCTAAAATAATCAATGCATCTTCCTTCAATAATCCAGTTGCATTTTCGCGTCATAACGGTAATAGGGGAGTATGATAATGACGTCAATAGTGACGTCAACATTTTTAAAACAGGAACTGTTTTAGATCCCGCATCATACTGGCGGTTATAGTAATTGACAAGTGACATTGTAACATTATTTTCAAAGTATTATGTTATTATTAGAAGTAAACATATTTTAAATTATTGAAACTATTTTTGAGATACCTACTACTGACTTTTCAAATCAAGAAATAGAAGAATAACACCAACTTGAACAGTCAATAACGTTGAAAAAATTGTTCTTTTTATTCGGAATAGCTGAAAAAATACCACATCATTTATTTATTTATTCAGTCCATATGATTCACTCTAGGATGAAAATAATTTTCTGAAAATCGTGGCTTTATAATTGAAGACATGAGAATGATATAAAGTGGATAACAACCATTTTTGGTGGAATTCACTTTTTGTCCGATTTTCTTCAATAAAAAATCGCTCTATCGTTGGAAATGAAAAGGAAACATGTAACCTTGCCCCATTCGCCAGGAGATGGCAGGAAGAGTTATCCGCTTTCAAATCTGGACTAACTGTTGCAATGCCGTTGCCATGAGAAGCGGATAACAACCACACTTATCCAGTTATCATACTCAACGGGTTCTGTGTGTTCTGTGCATCCAAAAAATTTCATGATATAATTAATTGTTTTCCTGAACGTGGACATTCATGTTTGCCTTGTGATCATTTTTTCGGAAAAATTGAAATACTAAAAAAAAGAGAATACCCCCTCCCTCAAAAAATTTTCAGGTAGTTAAAATATAACTCAAGCAATGGTCGAAAACTATAAAGAAACAATAGATGACTATTTCAAGAAGACTTTCCGAAATGAAGATGGAGCATTTAAAATCTCAAAATATAAAACATTCAAGTATACTGGGATAAGATAACAGTTTCAGAAAATCAAAACTGTATAGCAACTCAAACATTTGTTGCTCTGAAGAATGCCGTTGATTTAAAATCATTCGAATATCAACCTCTGCCAAATCTATATGATAATCCAATACCACTCAATCCAAAAAAATTACAGGATAACATCGACTTGGGAAAGTATATTCCATCTAATATATCCACTAATAATGAAGTTCCAGTAGACATATCGGAGGAGTCAGATTCTGGTGATTCAGATGTGGAATAAGTAGTTTTTATTTTTTTCAAGTACCAATCTGAATCCAGTTGTCTTTTTATGTAATGTTCTGCTGATGAACTGACATTTTGTGTTCAGAATGCATTATTTTCCCCTTTTCAGCAAAATGAGAAGTGGATAAGTGTAAAACAAAATTTTGATATTATTTTCGACTTTTTTTCAATTTCTACTTATCCGACCTATGTCAAACTAGTTGATTAATATACCATGTGGCAAAAGAATACCAAAAACGAAATTCTCTAATTTCCACACGTTTTTCTTGATTTTCTCGGAAATTTACTTTTGGCGCTTATCCACTTATCATTCTCATGTCTTCGGGGAAGACCACTGAGGGAAGAAATCCGTGCAAACCGCTTTCAATCTACAAATCATGATTTACATTTTATGTACAATCAATATTATTATAGTTGAAGGGAATCGAATCTATATCGTTTTGAAATCAGCATATTTCATTCGATATTTCAAACAGCCAAATATGATGGTGGAGTCGTGACGTATTAGTCCCGAACTGTAGCTATCTCTCTCTGATACCTCGTCATTCTGCAGTGTTGCAGTGTAATTGGTCAGTTCAAGGATAATAGGCGTGTTGGGACTAAGACGTCGCACCAGTCACACCAATGAATTGATGAAATTTCAAATGGCGCAGGAATTGTGTGTTTTGAAATGGACATAAATTAATTTATTTTTTTCATCGTCTTAGCATAAATGAAAAAATTCAAAACTAATTCACTGGTAGTTTTTCAGTATCGAGTTCATGATAATGTTTTAAAAAATCAGTGGTCTTCCCCATTGGGACAGGTACGATCGAAGTTGAATCAAAAAAATCATGAATCATTAACAGTACTGTTGGGAACATTTTGAGATGATTCATGTTGGAGCCACCGGAGCGGCCGGAGCCAACGATCATGCAACCAAAATGCAACTGTCCATTTTTTTTCGAGAAATGAGGACCAAAAACCAACACCTTATTGGTCTTCTCCAGGCCAAACTCTTCAAGAATATAGATTACAATATTATTGAAAAAAAATTCAAACAATAATATCCAAAATTAGGAACATTGAAACAAGAATGTGTTCAAATAATAAATAGTTTATTGTAATTGTTTATGCAATTCACAGTATAATAAAATATATTTACAACAATAAGTTTTCACTACTGGTACTCAAGTTAGGCAAAGATTTGAAAACACAGCTTCTGTTTCTTACTACATCAGTCTTTAGAGAATTTTGCAGGGAATATTTTTTTCTGCTACTATTAGGGCACTCGATATCTAAAGCTAAAATGTTACTTCTAGACATATCCATAGAATTTGGGGCATCCGATTCGAATTTTGGCGTATCACACAAATCTTCAACATGAACGTCGGCTTTCTGTACCGAAGACGAACTGCTGCTGCAACATTTCACCTGAAATATTATACAGTGTTGAAATCTTCACTTTCTAGGAACATAGACTTTTTATCTTTTTTTTTTTGGGATATAGGGTGGAGAAAAAATGAAAGAGACCAAGGAAACCCTCCAATATTCATCTTTACTAATATTATGAAGAAGAAAGATTTGATTGTTTGTTTGTATTGAATAGGCTCCGGGGAAGACCACTGAGGAAAGAAATCTAAGCAAACCTCTTTCAATAGACAAATCATGATTTACGTTTGATGTACAATCAATATTATGAGTTGAAGTTGAAGGGAATCGAATCTATAGCATTTTGAAATCAGCATATTTCATTTGATATTTCCAAAAGCCAAATATGAAGGTGGAGCCGTGCCGTAATAGTCCCGAACTGTAGCTATCTCTCTCTGATACCTTGCCATTCTGCAGTGTTGCAGTGGGATTGGTCAGCTCAAGGACAATAGGCGTGTTGGGGCTAATACGTGGCACCAGTCACACCAATGAATTGACACCATTTCAAATGGCGCAGGAATTGTGTGTTTTGAAATAGACATATCCTAATTTATTTTTTTCATCGTCCTAGCATGAATGGAATAATTTGAAATTGATTCACTGGTAGTTTTTCAGTGAAGAGTTCAGGATGATGTCGTTTTAAAAAATCAGTGGCTTCCCCATTCTTTCAGCATTAGAAGCAGACATTATCCTTGAACACAAGCTACTTTTTACCGCGGAAAATGCTTCATTCCTATGAGGAAACTAATCTAATGTAACTGAAAGAAATACTGGGTATATAAAAATGTAGTTCACATCAGAACAGAAAAAGCTGCAAAATTAGATATTTGGTACTAGCACTTCAATTGAATAAAACGAACATTGTTAAGATTCAGTGTTTATTTTATTTTTTTCAAATAATAATCCTTCTAACCTTGCTTTCTTTCAGTCTCTCATTCAGCACTTTACTTTTGAGTCTTGAAATCGATTGAAAGCAACACCTACACAAATTCAGATGAATTTTTGAATGAGTAATATTCAGTCAAGTGTAAAATTAATTTCTTCATTTCTTCATCACAACCTCCATAAATATTCATAATGCTACATACCTTACATTCATTTTCAAAGACATAACACATCTGCATGTCATTTTGTGAATTGGAATTGGTCACAGAAGAGGGCTGATTGTACTCAGCTATGGTGACTATTTGGGTAGGAACTGGCTGCCTGGTATCCCTTTCAAAGTATGGGGAAGGGGATGGGGGTAGTTTCTCGGGTGCATTTTGAACGAGTATTATACTAAAAAAATGCCTTTCATTACTCTTCTGTAACACGTTCAAGTAATTATGAATATTCCCGATAGGTATTGTACACTCGTCGGCAAAAAACCGGCCACCAAAAAAATTAGCAAAATTGATCGTCCTGTAACTTTTTTTTTTATTTTGGCCCAATTTTGCCGAAATTCCGATCAAATCGTAGATTCATGCTTGAATTTTTATTCACACAAAAGCTGATGGGTCGATCATTATTCAAGTCAAAACAAAAGGTTCTATTTATTCATGCTCACCTTCTTAACACCCATGGCAAAAGTGGGTGATTAGAGATAGATTCATCATGTTCTCAATTGAAGTGTCATGCCTTGGTAACACAATGGTTTTTGATTCACGTCAATATCTTCATTTTAAGAAAGTATACAAGTGTTTTAAGAAAGTATGGATTTTTTTAATTAGCAGAACCTACATGAAACTTATTAACAATTGGAAAAAACATCTGAAAATTGAGATAACTTATTTTTTTAGCATTCAGCAGCAAAGAGAAACCTTAATTAATAAAAACAAACGATAAGCAGAGCTCCTAGATGTAATCAATAACAAGTATGCCCTCCTCAAGCTTGAATTACAGCATTCAAGAGATTATGAGGAATTGCCCCAGTCCTATTGAAGGGCAAATCATAGCTCTTGAAGAGTCTCTGACAAGGCTGGAAGAAGGCTTGATTGAGCCTATGGAGTTTTCATCACAAAGATACTCTATAGGTTCTAAATTCTTGTTGATGAAAATTTAAAAATTCAATGCTTTCTTAAAACACTTGTACCTTTTCTTATGATTCAAGAACCATTGTGTTGAGGAGGGACAAAAAAGGAATACACTTCAATTCAAAACATGATGAAACAGAAGGTTGGAGAATGATTCTGAATTATTGTTAATAAAAATTGAAAAATTCCAAACTTTCTGAAAACATCTGTATCTCTCCTTGAAAAGAAAATATTGAAGCCAATAAAAAACCATCCTGTTAAGAAGATATCACACTTCAAACCAAAACATGATGAAGCTAAGTTTAAGCACTCATTGCTACAAAGCTTTAAGAAGTTAAGGGTGAGACTAACTTGTGATTTTCCCTGTATAATGATCAAGCCATCAGCTTTTCTTGAGAACCAGAATCAGACAAGAATTAAAAAAGTTATAGGGCGGTCAATTTGACTATTTTTTTGCTGGCCGTTTTTTTTGCTGGTGAGTTGTGAAATTGTAAAATATGGAATTAGTGGGTCATCTGATTCTGTTTTTAGTAATGGTGTTTGTTTGCCAGTTATCCTATATGTATATATTTATTGACAAAATCATAATTTTATTGTTATATGAGGCTCCAGGTGTGATTCATAAATTCATATATCTCTCCAAACATAAAAAACAGGCAATTAAAGTCTTGATAAAAGTATAGATATCTTGGAATTGGAAATAGGTATTTTTGAGCCAGCAATCTAGATCAACCTCAATCCATTTATTTATTAGTGCACAATGGAAAATTCTAGATGACTGAATACTGATACATTAGGAAAAAATATTTAGACATTCTTGAGTTGAAAACATAAAATATCAGCAATAATTATTATGGCCTCCAGAATCTGCAGTATGAACGTGAATAAGAAACACTTTGAAATAATGTATGAAATTTACATTTTCCAATGACAAAATAAATAATTAGAGGAATAAATATACTCACCGGTTGTGTGCTTTCCATCTAGAAAAAAGGTGTAAGTACTGTCTGCACTGAATATACATGAATACAACACCACCAGTAGATCCAACAGATACTACTACAAGTTTGGTCCAAAAAGGCCATGCTAAAAAATAAAATCATCAGGTTTGTCTACCATGAAGAATTGCATATCTGTTTCATGTTGGAGATAATCAAGAATTGAATAGTTAGTGTTTTACAAGAATGTAAAAGTAGCCTTGAAATTCAGTTCCATATTGATTAGAAGTTATACTATAAAAATCTTGTCTAAGGATCAGAAACTCTTATGAGCAATTCTAATATTTCACTGGAACAGTAGCTATCTGATATATCTACATATAAAAGGTAGGTATGTACCTAGTGATTTTGGATACTTTATAATTATAGGATATATTGTCTTCTCCAACTCTTTTATTATTTGAAATATCTTACCAATTAGCCCTTTCCTCACTTCCTCTGCAGCCCTATCAATCAGAACAAATAAGGACCAAATAACACAGACAGCTGCTACAAAGTGAAACATTATGGCACATAGCAATCTTCTTCTTTCCACATTGCTCATCTCCAGGATCCTCCACTAAGGAATCATATACAACTTTTGATCAAAATTAATATGATTTCATTGGTACATTGGTTTATGAAAAAGCATGATATCTTCATGTGAACAAATTCTATTAAAATTAAACATTATTAATAATTTACAAACTTGTTAGAATTGTTTGTGATATAGTATCTATCTCTCAAAACATGAATGATGACTTTTTGGTAAACCCATTTATGGATTAATTGGAACACCAGCAAGAACATCATCAGGCTTTCACCCCAGGTGTTTCAGCATGGTAATAAATCATCTGATCAGAATAGAAATTACAGGGTGTTTATAATTCTAGATGGGTATAGCTAATAACTGACTGACTGTTCTATAACCAGTATCCTAGTAGGTAGGTAATATGTAACTGAGCTATTTATAGTTGAAATTTTCTGTAACTCAGAAAAGTAGAAGTTGATTTTTGTTGAATAATTATTAACCCAAATATTTTTTGTAACTAACATCTGTTTTTTTTTTAAATTGAATCAGATTCTTTATTGAGCTGATCACATAGAAAATCAGACTATCAACTATAAAACATACAATAATTCACTAGGGAACATCTCTAAACTGTTGTCTGTCAACTCACCTCTGAAAAAGGTTTGATTTTGGTGTGTAAAATGAAATTGAACTTGCAGAGTTCACATGATCTTGTATCTGAGGCAGCTAACCACTGTCTGAGGCATGTCTGATGGACATACTTCAAACTGCCAGAGCAGAAGCAAGGAGACAAAAGTGGATTATCTGCATCAGCTTCACAATGGCATATCCTGCATATATCTCCCACAGAGTTCGATAAATTTGAAGATGAATCCCAGTCTGGAGTTTTCATGGAACTGGCAAAAGCAGTTTTTGGAAGGGCAGCCGAGTGTTCTTTCACCTTGATAAACTGCTGGGGCATCTCACAGGTTTGATAGATACCTTGGAATATTTATATAACGTTTTCACTACTAGTCATATCCATCAGAAAGCTCTTTGTTGAGTTCTAATTAATAGCAGGTTCTTCCAACTAGGCTGAACATAATCAAGCGTTTATCAAATACAATAAATTGTTTTTTTATGACTTTAGCTATCGCTATATTATAGTTTATCGTTAGATTATTTTCAGAAAATCAGAAATAGAAACAAGAAACAATCAAAATCAAACATCAACATGACAAAATTGACATCTATGAACGTTTGTTTTCTCTGCTTCAGTCTGCTTTTACTGCTTTCTGCTTTGTCAATTGTCATTTTTCAGCTGACAATTACACAAGTGATAGTGACAAACGACAATTGACATTGGTCAATGTAAATCTATCCTTGATCAATTACACATGATAAACAAAGATAAAAACATCAGGTGCAAACAGACAAACAGTAGCTTTGTGTCTCTTTCTAGTTTTTACCTGTCATTCTTTTCTGACACTGTCAGTCAATCTGTCAGTACGTCAGTCAGAGCCAGTATTCAGTAATCAGTACTGTCAGTGTGCTGTCAGTAATGTTATTAATGTTGTTGCATTGCCTTTGGTACTTGTTTTCCGGGATAAATTCTTTAAAATACTGAATTTTCTTGTATTTTAACTTCATTAATGAGTTGGAAGTCATTATATTGTATTCTGCGAATAATTCCAGGTTAAATATAATTAATCTCTTCTCAACGTTCTATTTTATAGGTGGCGTAAACATTTCAGGTTTGATAAATGTATTGATCTTTCGGTAATAATCAACCAGTTTGTAATTTGATTATACAAATCCATTATTTTGTATATGTTCGTTTTTCGTTAGTAAAATTCAGTGAGATTTCTGTCATAATAGTATAATGTCAGAGAACTTGAGAAAACGAAGTGGTGTAGCTGGTGATGCAGAAAATGTGAGTAAACTATAAATTATATTTGTGGTTTATAAGAATAAACCTATTATGAACTTAATACACATTATTTTTGTTTTGTTCTACGGTCCTCGACTAGGTCATTTCCTACTAGGTCGCTTGTACTATATCCTTCTTAATCATGACTATACCTACATATTTATTTTTGACAATAATAATAACTGTTCTTGAAATAATAACTCTACCTACAGACCTATTTTATTTGTTGAAGGAAGGTGAACTTTGCATGGTTGAATTTATAAGTATTCATTCGCTATTCTAAGTAGGTACTAGGTACCTATGTATGAATGAAAATGTATGAGGAAATGTATATCAAGGAATGTATTGTGATGTCATTACTAGGTTCTGGACTACGTTTGTGTCTATTCATTATTCACTGTTGAAAAAAATTCTACTCATTTCAACTAGAATGTTGTGCATGAATAGTGAATTTATTGCAGAAAATATACCATGGATCATCCTCTAGCTGGTGACATCTGGTGATGAACAAGTTCATATAACCTATCAGAGTACCGCAACTCGATCTCAGTAAAAACCCCATGTTAATTCTTATTTTCAATAAATATTAGGATTTCCATAGCAGTCATTCACGGTCTAAAAAAAATGTTCTCCGATTTGGACAAGGATTTGGACCCTTCGTAAATGACTGGTATCAAAAGTATGCCGATTATGGTTGTAACAACTGCTATTTAGTGATATTTAAAAAAAAAAATGATTAACATGAAACGATCCTTATTAGCGCTTATTTGTTTGAAACATGAAAATAGGAATTCAATTCAATATAAAACTTCCAATATCTTGAGAACCCTGCGGTTTTGACTGTGGTCAAGTTGTGGTTTTCTTCGGGTTTTCTGATGTTATCAACCTATTTATCACCAGCTAGTGCACACCATATTACTTCTATCTCTCTTATAAAAAATCTTCATGCACATGAATTGGAAAAATAAAATACTTCATCTGAATTAAATAAATCTTAAATATCCTCGTAAATCTCCTTATCTACTCAATATTCTTTCCAGGCAAACTGAATTGAAATTATTCTGTGGTTGAGGACTATACAGGGTGTTTGGTACACCGACTTACATCTGAGAACATTTGGAACATATTATTTTACCCGAGATTTTACCATATATACTATTATACAAAGTGTTACGAATTTCGAGATATTATCGTTTTTCAAACATTCTTATAAATTGGGAAACGTATATCATCCATATTGAACACATAATGGGATCTAAATGTGAAAAACATGTTTTGGGTTCTTATGGGCTCCTTTTAGAATTAAAAAAAACTTTTTGTAATATATCCAACTTCGAATTTATAAGCGATGATTTCTCGAAGAGTGTAACACTGTGTATAAGAGTATACCGGGTGACACTGACTCATTAAATTTGGAATGAATATGCTCACATTTTTGGATTTTTTTCATCTTCCGGTTTTTATGGAAATGACATCAATTTTCGATTTTCAAATGGAACACCCTATATTTCATTCCATAATCGGTTAGAGATTATTATAACGTAAAACGAATTCAACAATACCAGGTTTGATTGGGTTTTTTTAGAGGATTACGAAGATATTCGCGTTAGAAGTTTCCATAAGCCACGCCATAAGCTCAATGAGTATGACAGAGAAAAAAGATTCGAAATTGCGCCATCACACCCATTAAGCTTATTGAAACTTCGATCGTGTATATATACCTAATCGTTTGAAATAACCCAATCAAACCAGGTATTGTTAAATTCGTTATAATAATCTCTCTAACCGATTATGCAATAAAATACTGATTTGATGTTCAAAATTTCAGAAATATAGCTAGAAAACCAAAGGAGAAAAGGAGGGTGTACCAAACACCCTGTATAATGTAGGTAACTCCCTTTATTTATTTTTATTGTAATGAAAAATAGTTTCGAGGAAACAGTTTCATTTTCACAATTTGCATTCAGAGGAAAGAATTTCAATAATTAAATGTATAAGGCCGAGTATGAAGCAATGGTTGCATACAGTGTGTGCGATTTCAACACCCTCCTAATTTGGAACCCGTCAACTGATTTTCAAAAACAAAAAATCCATAATCAACGAGTTCTATTCGAAAATGTGGAGAAATCCTACTACCTACTCTTGTTTGTTGAAGGGGTCAAAATTTCAAGAACGATTATTAGGATTTTTTTTCGAATCAGTGACTTGTCTATCCGATTCAGGCATAGCAAAAATACCTCCATACAAAGTTTGAACGCGAAACCTTATATAGGGTGTTAGATATACAATGGCAAATTTCAGAATTCACCTCGTAATTCACGCTTTTTTCGATTCACCCTGTAATAAAATCTAAGGAGTCATATAACCGGTGAGATGGTCATTCAGTGAAGAATACTTAGATACGAAGTTTCATCTTTGCAAGTTCTACAGGCAGATGTTTCTAGGTCAACCAAAAATCAATAAAACTAGAAGTTGTGGTTCATGCAGCATTTTGAAAACTCGAGTAAACCGTTTTTCACTCACTCCACCAGACAATAACTTCGAAAATCGTCTCGATTGATAATTAGCTGTCGATTATGATTAAAATAGAACGACAGCCAAATACTCTCTGAAATTGAAGGGAAATTTGCGAGGAAATTTGAGATGACAATGAATATTTATATGCACGGAGAATATTTCTTCCAATTAGTTACTATTATTTAAATTTCCAGGAAAATGGATATGGATCATTACAAAAAAAAATTTCAACTTCAATTTTATGAATTTTCGGTTGACACCGATTCAATCAACTCCTTAGATTTTGATATAGTGTGAATGGAAACATCAAATCTCGCATCAAATATATCAAAGTTTGCCACCCTATATGAGATATTGCGTTAAAATTTTTTTATGGGGTTATTTCAGCTTTTTTCGGAAAAAAATGTCCATATTTTCGAAGAAATCTCGTTGACCACTATATTATGGAGTTTTTGTTTTCGAAACTCTGCCGACGTGTTCCAAATTATAAAGGTGTTGCGGGTTGACATCGCACACACTGTATATCATTTGTCTTTTCCATTTAAAGGTTCAAGAAAAAACTGATGGAGCTGATACCCATAGCGATAAAGAAAATATCCACTCGAATTTGAGAGACAGTGAGGTATGTTTAAATAAAATGCATAATTATAATTATGAATCATGATCTAACTGTCTGAAGTTAGGTTGATATACATATACAATGTGGTAGATGTTGATGATGATAATGTAAATGAAATATGAATGTTAATTTGTGACCTCGTTTGTGGCTAATGCTGATAATGAAGTAAATGTCTGGGTAAATGTAGAATATTTTCGAGAATTACCAACAGTATTAAATATTGATGTTTTTAGAATGCTAATAGGATATTGCTATCATACCAGGCGACCACAAGAATACTTGCCAGCCTGTTCATTGTGTTATACTATAAAATTTCCATTTGAAATCCTGGAAAGTTATGTTGTTGTTTCAGATACGTATCAGATATTAATTTTAAGAACTTACTGAAACTTCTTACTCTCACTTTCTGTTTGACTTGAAGCACTAACTCTGATATTTCTTCAATTGAACAACCGATATTTAAGAAAATTTCGATTCTTTGAAAAAATCTGAAAAGATATGCACCAAGCCCTATTCCTGACCTACTTCTTTCTTGAGGTCCTCGAAATTGATATATGGTTTTATAAGACAAGCTGGAGTGGTCACCCATTAGCATTGGACAATGGAATAATATACCTTTTGCTATACTAAAGAAGCTAGCAAAGCCACTTTCGATTTTCAACATGAGACACATCTCATAATTTTAGGCTCATTTTAGGCTAATTTATTACCCCATTCCCGAATTTTTTGCTCCTCCCTATCATAGAAAAATCTGTGGCTTTGCTAGCTTCGGCCGAACTCAGCAAAGCCATTTTTGAAAAACAATATTTTTGGAATATCTGATATATTGAGAATGTAGGCTCATTTTAGGCTAATTTATTACCCTAATCCCAATTTTCTTGCTCCTATCTATCATAGAAAAATCTGTGGCTTTGCTAGCTTCGGCCGAACTCAGCAGAGCCATTTTTTAAAACATAGAATTTCCACCGACTTGATATATTGAGATCAAATGACTTATTTTAGGCTAATTAATTACCCTATTTTGGAATTTTTTGCTCCACGTTTCAAACAGAAAAAATACAAGACAATTTGTCGAAATACGCGTCATTCACTGTACATTATGTATTTCTATCAAAAGCATATTTTATGACGATTTCATGAGGGAAAGTGTTAGTATCGATTATAAGCTTGATGACTATCCCATTTTGGAATTTTTGGCTACATATTTTTTAAAAGAAACCTGTGGCTTTGCTGGCTTCGGGCGAACTCAGCAGAGCCATTTTTTAAAATAATATATTTTTCACTGATTTGATATATCCATATTAAAGAGCTAATTTAAGGCTTGAAAAGGAATATTCTCAGATAAATTATGAACATACAAAAATGGATATATATTTATATAAAGCAATACATTGAGAATTCGCATTCTCTATGTGATGAGAATATTTACTCTTTCTCAGTTGATTCAATAGAAAACAACTACTTTCCTGGCTATATGCCACGACGAACATTGAATTATATCTATTGAACACACACGATAAGAGTTTGAAAATAAAATATAAAAACTTCTGAAATTGAGAATTTGCATTCTCCTTCAGACAAAAATATGTATATGCACACATCATTCTGAATATTCAACAGAAAACATCTACTTTCCTGGCTATTTGCCTCGTCGAACATTGAATTATATCTGATGAACATTCAAAAGGAGAACATGAAAAATAAAGAATAAAATCCTCCGAAATTGAGAATTGACATTCTTCTTCAAATCGGATGAATAATATGATGTATAATGATATAGAAATATAACTCACCAATATATTCAGCATTGAAATGAAAATTGGAATGTATAGAAGAAGTATACTGGCATAAACTCTGATCTTGATGAGCTTGAAAAAATAATCATTCATATCAGTGATATGGGAAATTAATAACCCCATTTTTAAATTTTTTGCTCGATGTTTCAAGCAGAAAAAAAACCGAAACGATTCGTCGAAATACGCATTTATTCACTAATCATTATGCATATCTATCAAAAGCATATTTTATGTCGATTTTTCAAGTCAAAGTGTTAGTATCGATTATAAGCTCAATAACTATTGCATTTTGAAATTTTTTGCTGCATATTTTTTAAAACAAACCTGTGGCTTTGCTGGCTTCGGGCGAACTCAGCAGAGCCATTTTTGAAAATAATATAATTTTCAAAGATTTGATATATCGATATTGAAGAGCTAATTTTAGGCTAATTAATTTCCCTTATTTTTTAATTTTTTGCTCAACGTTTCAAACAGAAAAAATACAAGACAATTCGTCGAAATACGCATTTATTCACTATACATTATGCATATCTATCAAAAGCATATTTTATGACGGTTTTTGAAGACAAAGTGTTAGTATTGATTATAAGCTCAATAACTATTGCATTTTGAATTTTTTTCTGCATATTTTTTAAAACAAACCTGTGGCTTTGCTGGCTTTGGGCGAACTCAGCAGAGCCATTTTTAAAAATAATATATTTTTCACCGATTTGATATATCGATTTCGAAGAGCTAATTTCAGGCTAATTAATTACCCTATTTTCGAATTTTTTTGCTCAACGTTTCAAAACAGAAAAAATACAAGACAATTCGTCGAAATACGCGTTTATTCACTATACATCATGCATATCTATCAAAAGCATATTTTATGACGATTTTTTAAGACATAGTGTTAGTATTGATTATAAGCTCAATAACTATTGCATTTTGAAATTTTTTGCTGCATATTTTTTAAAACAAACCTGTGGCTTTGCTGGCTTCGGGCGAACTCAGCAGAGCCATTTTTAAAAATAATATATTTTTCACCGATTTGATATATCGATTTCGAAGAGCTAATTTTAGGCTAATCAATTACCCTATTTTCGAATTTTTTGCTCAAAGTTTCAAACAGAAAACATACAAGACAATTTGTCGAAATACGCGTCATACACTATTCATTATGTATTTCTATCAAAAGCATATTTTATGACTATCTTTCAAGACAAAGTGTGAGTATTGATTATAAGCTCAATAACTATTGCATTTTGGAATTTTTTGCTGCATATTTTTCAAAAGAAACCTCTGGCTTTGGTGGCTTCGAGCGAACTCAGTAGAGCCATTTTTAAAAATGAAATGTTTTTCACAAAAACACGAAACGATTCGTCGAAATTATTCACTATACATCATGCATTTCTATCAGACGCATATCTTACGATCATTTTTCAAGACAAAATGTTAGTATTGATTGTAGGCTCAATAACTATCCCATTTTGAAATTGATTTCTGCATATTTTTCAAAAGAGAGCATATACTAAAGAAGCCAGCAAAGCGACAGGTTTGTTTAAAAAAATAAGTAGCAAAAAATTCCAAAATGGGATAGTTATCAAGCTTACAATCATTACCAACACTTTGTCTTGGAAAATCGTCATAAAATATGCTCTTGATAGAAATACATAATGTACAGTGAATGACGCGTATTTCGACACACTGTCTTGTATTTTTTTTAAACGTTGAGCAAAAAATTCGAAAATAGGGTAATTAATTAGCCTAAAATTAGTCATTCAATCTCCATATATCAAATCGGTGAAAAATCAATGTTTTCAAAAATGGCTCTGCTGAGTTCGCCCGAAGCTATAGCAAAGCCACAGGTTTTTTTTTTAAATATGCAGCAAAAAATTTCAAAATGCAATAGTTATTGAGCTCATAATCAGTACTAACAAAAATCGTCATAAAATATGCTTTTGATAGATATGCGTGATGTATAGTGAATACACGCGTATTTCGACGAATTGTCTTGTATTTTTTCTGTTTGAAACGTTGAGCAAAAAATTCGAAAATAGGGTAATTAATTAGCCTAAAATTAGCTCTTCGAAATCGATATATCAAATCGGTGAAAAATATATTATTTTTAAAAATGGCTCTGCTGAGTTCGCCCGAAGCCAGCAAAGCCACAGGTTTGTTTTAAAAAATATGCAGCAAAAAATTTCAAAATGCAATAGTTATTGAGCTTATAAACAATACTAACACTTTGTCTTCCAAAATCGTCATAAAATATGCTTTTGATAGATATGCGTGATGTATAGTGAATAACCGCGTATTTCGACGAATTGTCTTGTATTTTTTCTGTTTAAAACGTTGAGCAAAAAATTCGAAAATAGGGTAATTAATTAGCCTAAAATTAGCTCTTCGAAATCGATATATCAAATCTGTGAAAAATATATTATTTTTAAAAATGGCTCTGCTGAGTTCGTCCGAAGCCAGCAAAGCCACAGGTTTGTTTTAAAAAATATGCAGCAAAAAATTTCAAAATGCAATAGTTATTGATGTTACAATCGATACTAACACTCTGTCTTGAAAAATCGACATAAAATATGCTTTTGATAGATATTATGCATAATGTATAGTGAATAAACGTGTATTTCGACGAATCGTTTCGGTTTTTTTTTCTGCTTGAAACATCGAGCAAAAAATTTAAAAATAGGGTTATTAATTAGCCTTTACTTAGCTCTTTAATATGGATATATCAAATCAGTGAAAAATATATTATTTTAAAAAATGGATCTGCTGAGTTCGCCCGAAGCCAGCAAAGCCACAGCTTTCTTTTAAAAAATATGTAGCCAAAAATTCCAAAATGGGATAGTCATCAAGCTTATAATCGATACTAACGCTTTCCCTCATGAAATCGTCATAAAATATGCTTTTGATAGAAATACATAATGTACAGTGAATGACGCGTATTTCGAAAAATTGTCTTGTATTTTTTCTGTTTGAAACGTGGAGCAAAAAATTCGAAAATAGGGTAATTAATTAGCCAAAAATAAATCATTTGATCTCAATATATCAAATCGGTGGAAATTCTATGTTTTCAAAAATGGCTCTGCTGAGTTCGGCCGAAGCTAGCAAAGCCACAGATTTTTCTATGATAGAGAGGAGCAAGAAAATTGGGAATAGGGTAATAAATTAGCCTAAAATGAGCACTACATTCTCAATATATCAGATATTCAAAAAATATTGTTTTTCAAAAATGGCTTTGCTGAGTTCGGCCGAAGCTAGCAAAGCCACAGATTTTTCTATGATAGGGAGGAGCGAAAAATTCGGGAATGGGGTAATAAATTAGCCTAAAATGAGCCTAAAATTATGAGATGTGTCTCATGTTGAAATTCGAAAGTGGCTTTGCTAGCTTCTTTAGTATCCTTTTGCTGCCATTGTCAGAGAATTAGCTGTTTCACTGCGTATATCTCGGCTTATATAGAGGTAGTGACGTGACAATCTTACTGCCTAGCCAGTAAAAGTGCATGATTTATTTTCTGACTGTGCCATTTTCATTTGCGTATATCAGATTGTGCAATGGCATTAAATCTACTTTACGGTTAAGTTAATCAGAAAGTATCATACTCCAGCCGATTTTTCAGAGTTATCTACCTCGTTATCTACTTTATCCCTTTACCGCCCAAAATTTTTTATCAAGATATGATGTTTTTTTTTTTTCATTAAAGTCAATACCATTATATAAAATATTGATTGTGGAACCACTTTGATTTTGTTTTTCTAAAACATAATGGTAAATTGTGATGCTTACTGGTATGAACGTCATACCAGTATGTGGAAGACTGATATAACAATAAAAAAATTATTCTCATTTAGAAATGTTTACTGAGGAATAATTATGAAAATATGGTATTCATGTATGATACGGTAAAAAACATTCAATACACAAGGCAACTTGACATATTTTGCACTGAACACTACTTCTCTTCTGTTTACAGACTTGGTACATTTTTTGTTCCTGCGAAATGTTGTTTTTTTTTTAAAAGATGACCCTTTTTTGCATGAAAAGGATTTAGAAATTAGAAGACATATTACGCATATTATACACTGAATGATATTGATCGATTTCATGAAACAGGAAAGGAAACTAATGAATAAATTTCGTCTTTCGTCCAGTACTTCCGAGCCTTTCCGAGCGCATGAATAGAATGGCTTGTACAGTCGTCTTCAGAGGACATGTCGCACATGGACGGTGTTAGCACTCTTAATCACCGCTGCAATAAAAGCGCTCATATCACCAACCACGACATGTTCATTGAAGACGAGTGTACATTCAATGGTATACGGTTTGACATAATATATGAAAAAACATAATATAGGATTAATTCATGAGCATAAGTCTCAGAACCATGGACGTCTCAGAACGTTTTTGTTATCATTTTTTAGAGATGGAATGTTTGTCACAGATAATATTCGCATCACTTGAATCTATTGGTATTTCACTAGAATCCAATGTATTTCCATAACTAAATCAACTGATAATTTCACTATACCAATATACTGACTAAATTATTTGACACACAAACGCATAAAACGTTGTGAACAGTTCGAAATATTGCGTGAAACTTGTGCCCGAAGAGGAATGATGATTTTTAATGTGTCACAAATGCCCGTTGGTAGCTTATTCGACCAGACGCTCGTGTGCAACCAACTGTAACGCATACTGTGTAACATTGGCTATTCAATCGACCAGCCATTTAATCTCGATATATCTAATCGGAGAAAATTCAATGTTTTCAAAAATGGCTCTGCTGAGTCGTTACCACCTTGTATCGGTGGTAACGGCTGAGTTCGCCCGAAGCCAGCAAAGCCACAGATTTTTCTATGATAGAGAGAAGCAAGTAAATTGGGAATAGGGTAATAAATTAGCATAAAATGAGCACTACATTTTCACTATATCAGATCATCAGAAAATTTTGTTTTTCAAAAATGGCTTTGCTGAGCTCGGCCGAAGCTAGCAGAGCCACAGATTTGTCTATGATAGGAAGGAGCAAAAAATTCGAGAATGGGGTAATAAATAAGCCTAAAATTATTAGATGTGTCTCATGTAGAAATTCAAAAGTGGCTTTGCTAGCTTCTTTGTTATCAGCCAACGTACCGTGTAGCATCGCGTTCATACATAACTACGTTTGACGTTTGAATTCGAAATAACCAGGAATACCCTGAGTTTGACTCTTAATGTCCAATGGCACAATTGTCTACAAATGGGCGTTGCAGGGTTATTATAAGAAATGGGTTTAATTCAATTTCACTTTGTATTTGTTCTTCCTTATAGAACTTACATGATTCATAATCCTTATTTTTAAGATCGACAGTGAAGATGACAAAAATGGTCGAAAAGGCAGTATCGACTTGTCGTCAAACATTCCCACAGGGACTAATAAAGCCCCTTTCATGCTGGAAATGCTTCTACAGGATTTGCCGGACAAATGGCGAAATTGGGTGGTTAGAGGCATTTTCAGCTTTCTGATGCTCACATTTTTTTTGGTAGTCATATATGGAGGCCCACTTGCTCTCATGATCACAGTAAGTTTATATGAGATTTTTTGTTCTATTATGAATTGTGAGACAGGAATAATAAACATCCAGCTGCTGGCCAGATATTGATGAAATTTATTGTAAACAAATTAATGCATTGGATGATTGTTACCGAGGTTACACATCATCAACAATGGGCTTACATCACAAGAATTTTTTATTTCATAATTCGATAGAACTATGAAAACTAGCTCACCACCACAAACCGTTTCTTGCTGTGAGCTCCCTACGTTTCATAAAAAATTATTGAAATCCCCGATTTTTCGGACCTCTGAAAACGAGGCGATGATGTGACGTCAAAACCCTAATAAGTAAACAAGACTATTCCAAACAGAGATGAATGAAACATGATTTCTGACAGAGTGAATTAGCGCGAGATCACAGTTGAAAGAATTCATATCAGTTGCCTCAGTCTCCGTCGGGCGTTTGGTATTTTCTTTCAACTATGGCGAGATGAGATTTCTACGTCATAAGAGGGTCCGTTTTCAGAAGGTACTATTATTTATGCCCAAAAATGAAATATTCCCAGTTAATTTTTCGATCGAATTCTGTCGTCAATCAATATTTATGTATAAAAGGATCATTATAAACATGGTTTGAGTTAAAAGTTCTACTAAGGTGTGCATGCCCATTATCCAGTATCATCCATAAAGTTCGTAACACATGGAGAAAAAATTAATTAGTATAATATCGAAAAAAATTTTCTCGGGGATCTATTATGCATGTCTGACTACTTAAAAGTCGATTTTGGCACATGTCACTTGATCACTGGTTTGGCGGTAAATTCAAAAAATTACGATGGCAAAAACTGGGGTTAGATGGGAAGATGAAGTTTATTTCCAGTTTTCTCAAATAATGTCTGGAAACTCCATATGTGAGCATGAAATTGAATTCTATTCAACTTGTACATCCTCAACATCACTACTGTCAGAATAAAAAGAGAATTGTAACAAAATTGAATAATATTCAAAAAAATATAGCTATTTCCAATTCTCCTCAAAAATTGCTCGAAACTGAATGTGGAATAGCAACTTAATAAGAAATGTTTATGGATATTTTGTTATCTAAACCCATTTTTCGTCGCTTTATAGTATTATTTTTATTTATCACCATACCAGTGATCACGTGACATGTGTCAAAATCGATTTTCAAATTATCGGATATGCATAATGGATCGCCGAGAGGAAAAAATTCTATGCTGTGATAATAAACCTGTTCTCATATGTTATGGACTATATGGATGATACTTGATACTGTATATATCTGTTAGTAAAAAGCATCTTTCATGCTTGAAATCACAAAGTCTTGCCAAAATACGATCGAATTTTTCAGTTCAAACTAGTTAAAATCAAAGGTAATAGTGCATTTTTAAAAATTTGAATGAATTCATGACTTTTTCGAAAAAAGTCAATGGAATTAAATCACTGATTTAATTCATATGAATTAATTCATGAAACCCTGTGTGCAATCAAATTAATTAAACTGAAAAGTTTTCATTAATTTTTTATTGAACACAGTTCAAAATACTCTATAGTGAGAGATTTATATCTTTGATGAAATTTCTTCGGAACAAATAATTAATTATATTGAACACATGGTTCAAACACTCTCTATATATTGACAGATTTACTTTTTTGGTGACATTTCTTCTAAACAAATGGAAATATAGTGTTGAGGTTTGAATATTTATATATACATTCGTTTACTGGAACGATTTTTATTTTTTAGACATTGGTGGTTCAGGTGAAATGTTTCCAAGAAATAATAAATATAGGGTATTCTGTTTATCGCATCCATGGTCTACCTTGGTTCAGATCTTTATCTTGGTATTTTCTGATCACCTCGAACTATTTCTTTTATGGAGAAAGCTTGGTTGAATATTTTGGGGTAGTAATAAACAGAACGGTAAGTGTGTGTAATAAAATTATTGATTGAAATTTGATAAAATACATTTTTATGATACACTTCTACATTTCTGATATTGTATAACAGGCCTCTTTTTCTTGAAATTTCAGTTGAAAATCGCAGTAATAATATTACTATAAGCAAAAAAGTAAACAAGGAAATTAACAATAACAATGTTCATGTCATGAAAGTCAAAATTTAGAACAAAATTGATCATGGCCTCCTAAAATATTGTTACCGATTAATTAATCTGCTGAAATATGACTAGAAAACTCAAATATCTCGAAAACGGTTACAATTTTTGTATTTTGATAGGAGTACCGTTTTTATGTATTTTTTTTCTATAAAAAAAAAATACGAGAAAAAAGTTTTCTTGAAAAAGCATGACCCACACTATGAAACATCATTTATAAGAGTATCAGAATTGTAGAGATATATCAGAAAAATCTATTTAATCAACATACTTTCATGCATGAAATTTTAATCTGATGGCATTCAGAACTTATGTGGGAAAATTATTTCAATGTTATCAACTTTGAAAGGAAATATCTCCTTTAATATTTAAAATGTTGGGATATTAGTCAATTTATCAAACTATACTAATTTTTCAATGTCCAATCACCTCCAGATAGCTTGGTACACATTTTTGAGTCACCCTGTATAAGATGCAAAGTGGTTGAAAATATATTAGTATAAATGCGAAAATTATATCAGCATAAGTTGTACTCAGGAAATATAAAGGTTATTTTACTTTTTCATGTTCTATGCCTAAAAATAAACCTATCATCAAATCATTTCTGATCCCAAGAGAAATGTCAGTGCTTTTTATTGATTAAGTTTAATTTTTATCGAGGTAAACTTGAATATCTGAAACATGATACAGTTAGGGGGATAAAAATGCTGTTTGAATGCTCAAATCGATTTATCTATGTACTGGGTGGCCATTAGAACTGGGCCACCTGTTTGAATTTTGGGTCATTGAAGATAAAATTTCGAAAATTACAGATTTTGTTGATCAAATTTTAATTAATACCAGTTTTCCTTCACTCGGCTATTTCCAATTTTGCGACTTTCAGAAGTGCCTAAATCTTTCGAACCATTCCCATCACGTGATATGTTGGGATTCTTGTTTTTTGCTGATTATTTTACGCAATGAAATTGGTCAGGGAATTTCATTTTGGTTCACTTACTATGTTTTCCTTTTATTTATTTATTATATTTTATTTCATTCTTTGCTATAAACATTACATTGCATCTCATTTAAATATACCTAAATATATTTATTAATATTCACAATGAATTAACATGAATAATCAGACAGATTCATATCTGGCATGAGATTATTCATGCGTTATTAAATTAAATTGTAGTCATTGAAATAAACAACAGATTCAAAAAAGCTCATGAAAAGTGCATTGATAGGTGCGTTCGGTTATAACATATCTGTTAGCTCGATTCCGTCTGTTAGCTCGGAAAGCGTTCGATAAATCAGATCTACTTCCTCTGTCTAATCTGCTCCGTGTTCGTTAATTGTCAATGCGAGCTGAAAGATGTAATCTGTTTGCTCCGCCTTGAGAAGCAGATCATTCAGATTTGATCGGTTATTCGGTTGTCAGTTGTCAACAAATCGATGGCAACAACATGTTATTGAAATTATATCTCTTTTATGTCGAAAAATTGAAGACTCGATCAACTGGAAACGAAACACGAAACTGAATTTTGTAGAATCCTCCTTGCCCAGAATCGCCATAATGACCGACGAATTTGCTGTAGGTAGCATATTAATTATATATCTGTAATATATGCGATCACAACTGCCCTGGACCCACAGTTAATGACCGATCATATGAGACAGAATCATTTCTTCCCTAGTAATTTTCAAAATATAAACAACAAACATTCAAAAGAACTTTGTTGCCCTGACGTGTTTTTAAAAGTAATAAGGTTAAGTGAATTGTTTCTGTTTTCTGTTACTTCTGACAGCTGGCGCTCGCAATCTACTACCTCCTTGAGCGTTCGTTAAATATCTTTAGCTCTATCTGCTAGGTGATCACGTGACACCAAATCTGCATCTGCTCGCTCGGCTCTGATTTTGTTAAACCGAACGCACCTGATGAAATAAACTAGTGAATGAGAAATCATTCGCTCAGGTTTGATTTTCTCTTTGTATCACCTGATTCTCTGTCACCAATATGACAATGAGGTTTGGGAATGGTTCGAAAACTTTAGACTCTCAACTTTTGATTCACACCCAATTTCTCACATTTTATTCAGATTATTTGTTATTTATACAGGGTGTTTCTTAAACACATGCTAACATTTGAAGGGGTGATTCTCTGACTTATTCTATGAACGTATGTCCTAGAAGTCTCAACTTTTGAGTTTTGAGATACAGGGTGATGAAGTTTTGAAAATATTCAGTTTTTTGATAATAACTGAGACATTTTTGTATACATCCTCATGAAATTCGAAACACGTGATTTATGCATCAAGGTGCATTCTCTGATGTACAAAAATTTTCATTTTCTCTACCAGTGGCACCGTTACGGGAATATTATTGTTTATATTCTACTTGAAAGTGAGCAACGACGGAAAATTTCCAAATTTCGTGCAATGCTATGAAAGGCTATTCAATATTGTACAAAAAATATCCTCCTATTGATACTCGATGAAACGCTTCGTTTTAGAGAAAAAAATGGAAAAAGTAGACCATTCAGGACATCCATTACTGGATAACCACAGTATATGTAACATTTTGAAAATCTCATACCGATTCAGTCACATAGCAAACTGAATTTTGCAATCACGAAAAGATACAGGGTAGACAAGAAAAGAACCTATGCATATATTTTCAACATTGACACCCTGTATCTCAAAAGTTAGGACGTTTACAGAAATATCGGCCCCTTGAATATCAGCATATCATTAAGGGATACCCTGTATAAAATACCAAACCTGAATAACTGATTCTTTTGATTCAAGCCATTCGACTAACCAGCGAAAATTATTAATTTCACAGGATTTCTTGAGAGGAATAGTAACATACCACAGATTCATCTCTTTCTGCCTATACTGTGGTGGTTTCGTATTATTCGTGTTGAGTCTGGTCAAGAAATACTACATGAAACAGTTCTCACTATTTGCTTGGACCCACGTGGCTTTGCTGATAGTGGTGACACAGTCGTATCTGATCATAAAGAACATATTCGAAGGGCTCATATGGTTCATTGTACCTGTTTCGATGATTATTTGCAATGACATTATGGCCTATGTTTTCGGCTTCTTCTTTGGAAAAACGCCGTTGATTAAACTGTCGCCCAAAAAAACCTGGGAAGGGTTCATCGGTGGAGGATTTTCAACAGTCATTTTTGGATTCATGGTAAGAGGTGATATTTGCATAATTTTGATAAGATTTAAAGGACACCGCACTAAACTATAGGGAAAATGGCTCTCGATGAAAATCGCTGAATTTTTATGTATGTTGTATGTTGCAGACTTTGATATACTGAACAGATATTCCATTGAACGAACCTCAAAAAATGGACAGTTTTTCCGATATAGACCTCCAAATGTCATTTTTTGTTAGAAAAAAAAAAGTATCTGAAAATGGTTGAATTTTTGGCATGTTGTTGATAGGAATGAACTGATGAAAAAATCCAATTGACCTAACCTCCAAAAATTGACAGTTTTCTCGATATTAACCTCCAAATAGAATTTTTTTAAGTAAAAAAATCTCTGAAAATGGCTGAATTTCTGGTATGTTGTAGATAGGAATGAACTGATGAAAGAATCCAATTGACCTAACCTCAAAAATTTTACAGTTTTTCGATATTGACCTCCAAGTGTACGTATGGAAAATACGATGAATGGAACAATAATCAATAGACAAAGTTGCTGTTTTCGAATTAGTATTTGGCGTTTCATTCTTCTAAAAACAAATCTTCTTTATATGATACATCCACAGGTGAAGAAAACCGAAGAGAGGATGTAATGAAATGAATATTATTTAAAAGATGGTTATATAGTCTTTCCGAAATCAATGGGGTTGTAGGTATACACACTAGTCGAATTTATGCCATATATCTATTTTATTTTGATCATTCCATCTATTATGAAAGTATTCGATACACTCATTCATTCATAATCACCTCTCAGCAACACTATATAGCCGGCGATGACGTGACATTGACATACCGATACCGATAAACACTAAGATTTTTATTGCTCAACAACCAATGAGAATATTTCCAAATTCTTCATAGAATTGAGATTTTATTTCCACAGTAGGAGTGGAGTGTTAAGAACACAATACATAAATCGTATCGTATAGTATAATTGCAATGGATCGCGATATATGACGTCATCACGCGTTGTACCGCAATTTTCATGTTATGAAATATCGTGAATTTCGATGAATATTTACAATATGTAGAGAGATCTGAAGAGAAAACGGTTTGCAACAGTGAACAAAACCTTTCAATTTTTTGAGGTTAGTTCAATTGGATTTTTTCATCAGTTCATTCCTATCTACAACATGCCAAAAATGCAACCATTTTCAGATACTTTTTTTTCTCGAAAAACTGACATTTGGAGGTCAATATCGGAAAAACTGTCCATTTTTTTAGGTTAGTTCAATCGAAGATCTGTTCAGTTACCTATTGTTTAGTGTGGGGTCCTTTGTGTGATGAAAATTGTTATAGCAATACCTGTTATACAGGGTATGTCACGACGAGCTTACACTATCTCTATGTCGAGAATCAGTCGAAGAAATACATGGAAAAATGCATGCTTGTATTTTAGAAAACGCATTTTTAGATTCTCCCTGAAGAGCTGATTTCATCGATACATCAAACTTAGGGGTCTATCGTAAATGATAACAGAGATATAGTGTTCAAAATCGAGATTTTTCAACTTTTTATTATTTGTTTGTGTCGAAACTATTTATTAACGGCCAAAACGTTTATGAACATTGTGTGGAAATGACTTTGAGCGTTTTGTATTTATTCAACATATCATTCCACTTTGAGCATTGTGACTATTTCATAGTATTTATTATTCAATCTTTGAAATGGAATTTCTTGTTTTATTGATATGAAAGTAATTTTTCAGATGTCATACATAATGTGTCAATATCCATATTTCGTGTGTCCGATTGAATATAGTGAAGCTTTGGGAAGAATGACAATGGAATGTGAACCCAGTATACTATTTCGACCCACCATGTATGAACTCCCCGGATTCTTATGTGGATTATTGAACACAGTAAGCTAAGCTCGTCTTCAGGAAAAAAGTTTCAGTCCTAAAGTTTTCTTTTTTTCAGTTTGGTCTTCCCACTACTGTATCTCTCTATCCTTTCATGCTCCATTCTCTGTCTTTATCGCTCTTCAGTAGCGTCATCGGACCATTTGGTGGATTTTTCGCATCTGGGTTCAAGAGAGCATTCAAAATAAAGGTTTGGAATTATTTTTATGCTACAGAAAATAGGTTGAAATAAGAAAAAAATAATGGCGTTATACATCTTAGGGAGGGAACAATAGCAAAACTATGATTGAAAAAAAAATAAATTTGAACCAAACCATTCAAATTCCATGAAATGAAAACTAATTATTAGTTCTTCATCTTTTGCATTTGTGAATGCCTTCCTAGATAATCAGATACAATATATACTTAATGACTTTCAAGAGGAAGAATCTACAAACTTGATTGATTCATTCTATTACATACAATTTTCCATGCAAAACAATTCTTGGGGTGCTTATTATGTAAACCCATTCGTTCAACACTTTGGTCATCAAGAAATGATCACTAGATCATTTGAAAAATATCTGTATAGTGCATATACCAGGCTCTAAGAGGAAGGGATTACTGGATTAGCCACCATATGTCGGTACACTCCCCTCGTAAGGGTACCTGTCGTGTTGTTACTTGTTTGTCGGTCTGTTTTTAAGAATCAAAGAATGAAAATCTTATAATGCTATACTCTCAAATGTTTCAATTCGATTCTCAGGATTTCGGTGACGTCATACCTGGTCACGGTGGTATAATGGACCGTTTCGATTGTCAATTTCTGATGGCCACATTTGTGAACGTCTACATCAGCAGTTTTATTCAAACTGACAGTCCGCAAAAGCTGCTTACTCAGGTGCTGTACTTGAAACCTGAGCAGCAGCTGCAACTCTTCCACATGTTGAAGGATACGCTCGAAAATAGAAATATATTGGTACCCAGTGTATGAATTCCTTATTACTTGTTGATACCCAGTGTTTGAATGTTTTATTACTTGTTTATTGTAGAACAGCGAAAAGTTTGCAATAGACAGTGTGTTCGATTTCTATCCGCAATATCTTCCTAATTTGGAACCCGTCGACCGATTTTCAAAAACAACTAGTCGATTCAGGCATAGCAAAATGCAAAATTTGACCGCAATATCTCATATAGGGTGTTAGGTTATACTATGGCAAATTTCAAAATTATCGCTTTTTCGATACTCCCTGTAATAAAATCTGAGGACTTTATATAAACGGTGAGGTAGTCATTCAATGAAGAAACACATAGAATACTCAGATATGAAGTTTCATCATTGTAAGTTCCACAGGAAGATGTCTCTAGGTCAACCAAAAATCAATATAAAGTTGAGGTTCACCATTTTGAAAATCGTCTCAATTTATAGAGTTGTCGAATAATACACGAATAGATTGACAGACACTCCACAAACTGCAAGGAGATATACTGATGTTTGATGTGATCATTATAATATACGCCGATTTTGGCGAAATGGAATGAAAACTTCAGATGGGAATGAACATTATGTATGGAGAACATTTCCTCGAATACGTTACTATTATCATTGAGTATTCAAGGCTATTATTTATATTTCCAGGAAGAAAATATGGATCACAATAAAAAATATATCAACTTGAATCTCATTAATTTTTGGTTGACCTAGAGAGATCTTCCTGTAGAAGTTGCAACGATGGAACTTTGTATCTAAGTATTGCATGTGTTCCTCCGTTGAATAACTACTTTACTGGTTATTTCAACCCATTAGATTTCGATACAGGGTGAATCGAAAAATCTGAAATTTCAAAATTTGTCATCAAACAAAAAACACCCTATATGAGATATTGTGTTCAAATTTCGTATGAGGGTATTTCAGCGATTTCTAAAAAAAATCCTGAAAGTCGCTTTTGAAATTTTGACCAATTCAACAAAGGTCAGATTTTTTTTTTTAATTGGTCGACGGATTCCACACTAGGAGGGTGTTGCGGGTTAAAATCGCACACACTGTATCTGAATAAATAAACAAAGGCAGCTGACATGACCTACAACCTCACCAGTAACATATCTGGTTCGTGTTTCCCAGGACAAACTCAGCTCAGTGGATATTGCAAACTGTTTGTTGATCAGTGTATATTATAAATTTTATTATAGCATTTATTTATTCGTGCCATTGATGTACAGGATGTCTATGCGTAAATGATCTAATTTTGAATAGAAATAAGGTTTGGACAGTCAATGCTTGTATGTAGGTTTTTTCTTACTTCCGAGGTGAAGGGAATACGAAAAGGAAAACTAGTTATACAGGGTGTTTCAGTTTTTTGTAGCAGGACTTCAACAGCTTGAAGAAGACATTTTTCCAAGATTAAAATCTCATACAAACATATATGCGTGGAAGCTTCGTTTCCGATTTACAGGGTGTCAAAGTTTTTATGTTTTTTGAATTTTTTCCTACAATTTTCGGAATAATTGATTGAAATTTGGTACACCCAATACACTTCAAAAACTTAATATTTGAGGCTATTGAGCATTCCTGGATACCTACAGGGTGATAGACTTTCAGGGGTCGTACCCAATTTAACCCTGTAGAACTTTTTTGCGTGCCGTCTCAGCTTTCAATGGGACATAGATTCAGATTGTTCCTTCAATTTGGAAACTTTTTGCTTCCATGTTAATTTTGCGAAAACTGTATGGATCTCGAGATAAATATCAAAAATAAATTACTTGTAATAGAATCGTTATTTCTCAAACACACTCATTTGATATTTCTCAAACATTTTATTGGAAAATAGAATGACCGAAAGCTTCCATACCAAATGAAATACAGTTGCAAAATCAGATTGCATTTTTTGAACACCATTATAATTGGAACTAGGAAAAACAAGGAAAAAATGTTTTTATTTTGAAAAAACTTCTCTAACTGGATTGCAAAATCTGGAATTTTATCATGGAAAATTCTAGGACACCCTGTATAACTGGTTAAACTTTCGATATCAGGGACTGTATGATACCAGGGCCTACATGACACACGGTCTAGGCACTATACATCGCTAGACTGTCGCTTCTGACGGTTGAGGTGTTGTGAGTTTTAATAATTTAATCTCGTGAACGGCAGTTCTAATTTTATCAGTACCCTTAGAAGTGGTTCGGATTCCACTTTTATTCATCTCGAAATCCATACAGTTTTCGAAAAACATACATGGGGGCAAAAAGTTTCCAAATTATTATGCTAAGTCGGTTTGTCAACTTCTCGTTTCTAGTCAATAATTCAGTTAAATTTCAACCGACTTTCAAAAACGATGCACCACTGTATTTACCAAGAAAAGGTCTTTAAATTTGGGGATGCTAGGGGTTAGGAAGATGAAAATATCAAGATGGCATGACTGTCAATCAGGCTTCCTAATTTCAGGAGGGTTGAGTATTTTTGATTCAAAATGTATTTATGTAAGGACATTCTGTACTTGATGTATATATGACTGTTGAGTTTCCGATTATTTATTGATCTCGATTTTATTTCGTTATAATATGTTATTTGGGGATTCCTACAGTAGATCAGTGTTAAGATCTAGAACTAGTGAAATAGAGGGACCTTATGAAAGCCTTTCCGAAAAAGGTGTTTCGACTGAAGAAAATTACAGCATGAATTTTTATTAAACAGTGTGTCGATAAAGTACAGAACAAATCTATTATATGTCAAACCAAAAATTCGAAAGTAGTTTATTAAAAAAAAAAAAATTCGGACTCGCATCGACAATGTACAATCGATTTGAAAACATTTTACAAATATAAAGTGAGAAGATGATGAATTTGTTCTACACTTTATCCACATATTGTTTACAATATCTTATATATTTTTTTTATTTTTGTGGAGTGTTGACCTAACAGACCTAACAGTTTCCTGCTGTATTGGCTGATTTTCCACTTGATTTCACTGCTTGGCTCTCAGAAATAAACTGCATGATGACATTTTTTGATAATTTGAATATTACTTTATCAAGTACCATAGGATTAGGAAATGGATTTTTTTTATTATTGGTCAACATTCCAGCAGAGAAAATTTGTTGTGCTAGTCTTGTCATTATAATAGTGAATTATAATCCTGATACATTGAATTTGGCAATGCAAAGCTAATTTAAAATAATGTAGCAATTTGCATAAATTCAAATTGTTTTTCTAGTCATACCAATATATAGGTGTTGTTAAATTAACATAATGTATTTATTCAAAATCGATAAAAAACCGTTGCTTCTTTTTTTACCCATTTGGCAATCAGTGCAATAATAATTGTACAATGTTTATTATTAAATCTTCAATTTTGATTATTTGGAACTTGATGCCAGTAAGTGAAGTCATTTTTTGAGCCTACCAAAGATTATTTCACTTATCATAATTACTAAAAGGTGTTATGGACACTTCTGATGGAAACACCCCTGTATCTCACGTATTAGTTGGGTAGGGATCCTGAAATTTTCTGGGAGCGAGAGATATACCAAAAATTCACTATGTGACCAAGTGGGCGGGTCATCTTCATTGATATACACTGCTCGCCAACAGCCATGGAACCACCCCAATTTCAGGAAAATGATATTAGAGGAAAATGATAGGAGGCAAAATAGGTTGGAAACCACTTCGTATTCGTGATAAGAACGCCCAGTTCACTAATAATTCATATTTTTCTTGAAAAAAAAAATCAGTCTTGAAAATTTCATTAATGTCTCACTTTTCATGGACACCTCCGTATCTTACGTAATTAATTATTATTAATTATATTGACAGAAAATTAGGGTTTGAAGAACATGTAACGTCACTAAAAAAAAAGATTAGCATCAGGTTGCTATGCCATTAGAGTTGTATCAAATGAGCTTGGTCCTGCTATTGCCAGAAACACGTATTTTTCTCTCATAGAGTCTCATATCGGGTACGGCATAGCCTTCTGGGGTTTTTGTAGCCAAAACTTGTTGAATTCTGTCTTTATTCTACAGAAGAGAGCGATTCGCTATTTGTGTCGGGCTAAAGCAAAGGACCATTGTAGACCCCTTATTTTATATCACTCAACAAATTCTCACTTTCACCTGCCTCTTTATTTTGGAAACAGTCTGTTTGATCCATACCAGACATCATTCATCGAACAAAAACCCGGTGAATCATATTATGTCTACTAGAAATAACAGTCACCTGTCTCTGCCGATATCGAAGATGACTCGAAAAAAAAATTCCATTATACAGGGTGATTCACATGAGAACCGACATAGAGCAGGGGCATGTAGGGGGTCCCAAAATATGGCAATTTAACGCAACTCACCTCTATACCAAGTTGGTTCCCTAAGGAGATACAGGCTTTGAAAGTGAAGTAATAAATTTTGAAAAAAATCAATATCTCCGTTATTCTTGAACTTAAAGCAACCAAATTTAGTACACTTTGTGGATGTATTTAGGGCGTTACTTGACAGTACCTAGAGTTTAATTGAAATTTGTAAAGGGGGTATACCGGGTGGCGCACCATTAATATTCAATATAATTTTGTTAACACTTGATGGATTTAAAAAATCTTTGCTTTGTTTTGTGGGCAATTCAATTCTAAAACTTTTCTTACTCTAGTAATTTTTCGAAAAACCTCATCATTTTCATCAAAAACTCGAATAACTGAAAACGCGCGCTCTAGGTGTGTTATTTAAAATCATCGAAAATTCAAAAGTTGGCTATGAAAATAAACGTCAAACTTGACAATGAGGCAAGTGAGCTGTTCAATTAAGTAATTGTTGTTTGAGTGTTCTTGAAATGAACGGGAAGTTTTTTTTTAACGAGCAAGTTGACATGCTGTTAGTGTTATGCCTATAACTCCTTAGGGAAGCAACTTGGTATAGAGGTAAGTTGCGTTAAATTGCCATATTTTGGGACCCCCTACATGCCCCCGCCCTATGTCGGTTGTTATGTGAATCACCCTGTATATGAGAGCAAAAAAATCTACAATCACTTGCCAGAACAATTCAAAAAAACTGGCTGCATAAAAAAATTCAGAAAGGAGGTTAAAAAATTCCTTATTTAAAAAGCGTACTATGACCTGCAGGAATATTACAGTGAGAAGTTCTGAAGTCATGTATAATTTATTTCTTGATTTTTTAACTAT